CCAATCATTTTTTCTATAATTCTCCTTAAGGTTAGGTTCACATCTGGTGCTGCTGCGGATCCGCACGAAAATCCATGCAGCCGCATCACCAGCACAGAGGAATGGGGACCTGCGGGTGAGTGACAATAAATTTAATGGCACACCGCCCGCACTGGAAAACGCAACCATACTGAGAGCTGAGGTTTTCCTGCGGGCTTCGTTTTAGTGCAGGGACTTCTCTGCGTGTCACGGGGCACAGGAGTCCATTCAAATTAATGGGATCTCATGCCCGCACAAAATGCAGTCCGCACGGCCACATATATGTGAACCAGGGCTTAAGGGGGCACGGCAGGGTTGTGTGTCCAACGCTAGCATACTTTTGCGAATAGGTGTCCCTCGCTCCCATCTCAGAAAGTTGGGAGGTCTGGAAAAATTGTGCAAGACTAAATACCTACATAACACAAACATATTCACCCATATTGTCATATCACCATTCCCCGTACAATAAAAAAGGCAGGAACAGGGGTTAACCCATATACAACAAGGACTAGTATCAAAATACAGGGCAAGAATCAACAGTAGTATACTGAATACAACACAGTATACAGCAAATGTATTTATAATGGGCAAAAGTATAAATATCAAGTCTGAAAACATTTGAGTAAACAATTAAAGATAAATAAATAAGAGCACACTCTATCCTCATGAAGATGTTGCAGCGTCATAGGGTCACTTTCATCATGGTTGGCAGGAATGAACCTAGTGTTTAGTCCAAAAATTGGTACAGACTAAACACTGGCTGTTCAGATATTCATCCGAACACTGAACATTTAGGGCAGAGTGGATGAGCATGAAAGCTTCTGGAAGTCTATGGTTACTAAGGAAGCAGCAGCCACTCTGCCCTTACCAACCACTGATTTCACTGGCTTATTCACTTACATGACCGTGTAAGCAAATGGGCAGGTAAATGAAGTGGGTTGCATCATTGTCTAAACATGGTCTCATGGCCATATACATTAGAAATTGTGAAGGACCCTCTGCAGACTGGTACATACCCTTTCCAGAAGACATTGCAATAAAGAATAGGCATATTAAGTTTATACATATTGCAATACATGTTTAAGCTGGCCAACTGCTTCAAAGTAATCCCTCTATGGCCAGTCCTTCTCCGCTCTGCCTATGCAAATGTTACTGTGGACACAATGCCAATATAGGGGAAAAGACAAAGTGGGGGAGAGTTACTAGATTTAGGTCTGGCTACTTGTTTGTTTTATGGCCATATACATGTCACCTCTATCCCTGCACCTGCCTTTATGCAGCTGATGAAAGCTCAGGGAACTGTCATTTAGCTAGTGTTACTATCGAGGATTGTGTGCAATGGGTCATTATTCATTTTTTATGGAGAGTCAGCAGAAGTGGACATTATGATTGACGATAGACGTATAATGAGAAACTTATTTGTGATGTTAATGTTTTTAATAAAGGACTTGTCACACATTAGGGGATCTTTATTTCTGGTATGCATTTGGAGGGAAAGGTATGCATTTTTTTTTTTTAAATTCTTGCTTTAGGAATTGACAATAACAAAGAAAAAAAAGACAGTTTAAATAGCCGACTAAGAAAACTGCATTGTTGACTTCTTAACAAAAAAACACAAAAACAACACACAGATGCCTCCAAAATTCCCTCATAATATATAACAGACCCTGAGGGATCTACAACATATTTTGGATGCCCTTTGGAGAGTGTATTTTTTTTTTAAAGAAGCAATTGGGAGACCTCATTTTCTGGCAATTTAAAACTTTTTTTCCTTTGTAAATGTCATTGCTAAAAAAAAAATCACTGCTCCCAGCTGCATTAAATTTTTTAAAAATATTTTGCATTGGTACATGTTCCCAGGGTAGTGACTGCCACTCATGGTATTTTTGACACCCCCTTTCCTATCAACCCAGAAAATGGTCATTTGTAATTGGACAGATTCGGCTCCCTTTGTTTTCAATCAGGTTTGGTTTTGGGATCCAAACTTCTTTGAAGTTCGATGAAACTCTGTTGAACTGAACCCAAGGCAGTTCAGTTCATCACTGGTGGATGGCATAGAGACCGGCCTCCCAGAATTGGTCATCATTGCTGAATATAGAGAACACTGCTAGGCGAAAATGTACTGTATACTGCTGCTGTATACAGTTGGGCATACTGTCATATATACAGTCGACTGTTAGCAAATGCAGTGTACCTGCCAACACAGAGCTGCTGCAGAAACATAGAAAACTGATGGCAGAAAAAAAAGTGGCCTATTGTGTCTGGCCTATTTTCTACACGTTTTAATTTTTTGTTTGTTTGTTTGTTTTTTTACTTTTTATCTCAGCAAACATTTATCCTTGTTCCAAGCATGCTTGATCCTGGGTTCACATATATGACATGCGATAAATTGCATGTGATTCGCACAGGAACCTCACCGCATTCCTGTGCAAATCACATGCGATTTGTGTGTGCTGCAATTGGAGCCATACATTCTGCATTGCTCTAATAGCACCGCACCCGTACCAAAAATGTGCAGGACCCTTTTTTTTATGGTCCACATTAGAATCGGATCACATAGGTATTCACACCTATGCAATCTGATTCTGCACATCGGACCGCATTTTGTAGACCCCTTTCAGGGTGTTGGTAACTTAACATACACACCCCCAGTGGTTCGCATGAATGGGGTGAGATTCTGATGCGGTACGGAATATGCACTGAAAACGCTGCAAATTACGCACCGTATCAGTGTGAACCAGGGCTGAATCCACTTACTGTTGTGCTACCTGGAAGTCTATTACAAGCATCAACTACTCTTTCAGTAATATAATACTTTCTAAGATTAGTTCTGCGCCTGTGTTCTTGATTTTGGTATCATGTTGAAATTACTGCCCTCTTGAACCTTATCCACCCCCTTAAAGTCAGCCAAAAATAGAAAGCACATATGTCAAATTATCAGACATGTGTGATAAGCCATTAGCAGGTGTCCACTGAAACATAAAAAACAGATCAATATTGCTCAAATAAGAGAGAATAGCAAAACTTAATAATAAAGACAAAAAAAATGACAAACAAATATGCAGATATAAGGATATAGACTATAGGACAGTTAGTCCTCATGCACACTTGACGTTTTTACAGCGGCTGTTTTTGGCTTTTGACGATTTTTTCTACAGCTAGTAAACCCCCCAGCATGTTATCCTATGTGTCCATGCATACATAGACTGTAATCAACATTTTTTGGCTGGGATGTTTTTTGGCTGAAAAAAAAAAAAACAAGGATTAGTGGGTTTCTAGAGGAGTTTTTTTTAGCTGTAAAATGCTCTAACTCTGAAAAACGCGGTAAAACGCTGCAAATCTGTGTTTTTGGACTTTTTTTGAGCAAAATTTTTTTTGGGGGGGTCAAAAAAACTCTAAAAAACACAAATGTGGAAAAACGTGGGAAACCACTGCTAAACGCTAATGCAAAAACACAAAAAAAAAGCTGAAAAAGTCAAGTTTTTTAACGTGACTTTACACAGCTAACGTTACCAGCGTTATCAAAACGTCCAGTGTGCACGAGGACTTCGGGCTAGGACTACTGTTGCTATAGGGGAAAAATAATCCCAGAAAGAGCTGACAGGAAAAGATGCCAAAGCCTCATTCTCCCTTGTCACCCTAAATAGGACCACAGTAAACAGTGAAAATAAAAGTACATTTGTTCATTAGGTCTTTCCAGGGCCAAAGTCTACAATTCAGGAATCCATCTGCATTACTTTTGGAGGAGCAGATGGTGATAGTCTCTTTCCATAGGTCATGTAAGAAGAATTGACATTGAAGCTCCACACCACTGCTAAGAGTTGAGAAGTAGCCAACACATTTCGGGGGTGTAAGTGCCCCATTCATCACGGCTAGAAAGAACATAAGAGGATTTTCATTTCAATATGAGATCAATACAATGTACCCTCCGCAGGGTCATAATTAAAACCAAACAGGAAATCATAATGAGAGTATCAAAATAATTACATAAAAAGAGAACATGAGTGCTGAACACAAATTAGGATATGGGTGCTGAAAAACAAACCACAAAAATAAATTAAATAAATAAATATAGTTATAATCACTGTTATTAAAACTATATATTATGGGTGATATATTAACCTAATAAAAAAACAGAAGGAAAAAAAATTAGGTAAAAACTCTAAAAACTAGTATGTGTATAAATTGAACCATACATTTTACAATCTGATTGCACAACCGTCAGACTAAAAAAAAAAAAAAAAAAAAAAACACAATAAAAGAAAATAAATAAATGATAACTAATAGGTAAATAAAAATGATAGCATAATAAAAATAATAATAATAATAATATTAAAAATACTAATGACAGTACTACTGACAATAATAGTCATAATCACTATATATAGATTCTTGGCAATAAATTGATCTGTACATATGTATGTTAAATATATTTATACACCAATCCACCATAACATTATGATGGCCCACCTAATATTGGGTAGGTCCCCTTTTTACTACCAAAACAGTGCATTTTGCTGCCAAAACAACCATGACCCATTGATTCATAGATGCTATTAAACCTCTGAAGGTATGTTGCAGTTTGTGGCACCAATCTGTCAGTAGAATATCCTTGTTGTGAGGTGGAACCTCCATGGATCAGACTTATTTTTCCAGTACATCCCTCAGATTCTTGATGGATTGAGATCTGGAGAATTTGGAGGCCAAGTCAACACCTCAAATTCATTGTTATGATCATCAAACCATAATTGAACCATTTTTGCAGCACGGCAGGGTGCATTATTCTTCTGAAAAAGGCCACCAGGGAATACTGTTTCCATAAAAAGGTGTCCTTGGTCAGCAACCATGTTTAGGTAGGTGGTACATATCAAATACATCACAATGCCTCCACTGACTTGCCTTATTCCCATACTGCATCAGTGGACCAATTCTAATGGTCATGTGCCCATTGTAAGTGCTCTTGGCTGTGGACACAGGTCAACATGGGCACTGTGAGCTTTCTGCAGTTATGCAGCACCATATTCAACAAACTGCCTTGCTCATTATTTCTTCTTTCAGCACCAGGGGTGGACTGACAACTCATGGGGCCCTCGGGCAATAGGGGATCATGGGGCCCCTGTGTCCTTGCTCACAATCAAACTATGAAAGGTACCAGGGGCATCTCATGGGGCCCCCTACTGACCCCGGGACCTCGGGCAGTGCCCAAGTGCCTGAATGGTCAGTCCGCCCCTGTTCAGCACATCAACTTCATGGATAACATGTCACCATTGTTCACTTTACCTGTCAGTGATCCTAATGTTATGGCTGATTGGAGTATATATATAAATATATATATATATATATATATATATATATATATATTATATAAAATAGTATCATGTGACACTTGAATTGACCATATTGTTTGCTGTATTTTAAACTCCGGCTACTTTATTTCTATAAACAGTCATGTCACACCAACTTTGAAAACTGTGAAGTGAAAGAAGTTTTTGATACTGGTTTTAAATTATATTTCTGAACTCAATGCCATTTCTGAAGTATCTTTGTTATACAAAGAGATCAACTTTTCAACTCATGTCAGTTAAAGTATAGAACATTGTGTTAAAGTTTTTCTCTAGCAAGTGTGTTTTTTGCTTCAGCCCCTGCAGTAAAGGTGCCATATCGATGTTGTTCCTATTGCAGCTCCAAGTCATATATTATGAATTTATACTTCTGTACTTGTTTCAAGTTATGAAATGTAAAATAATTTTGTGATTGCTGTAGGTTGCTGCCATTTTTGTTTTACAGTGTGATCAGACTGTGCCAAAGCTACTTTTCTTTTTTATTAAAAACGATGACAGTATTCTGCCTGCAATTTCTACTTTAAAAGGAGAAATGTTTTTGGCTGATATTACATATTTTTTTTATTTTTAAAGTATATAAACTTATGTTTTATATAATAGTTTTTCGTTATTTGTACCAAATATTTTTTTTGCAATTCAAAAATGATCACATTTACAATTTCACATTGCAACTCTGGAGTCCTTAGTTCATTTACTAGGGATACAAGCCACATACAGTCTATTGCATCCTTCCCATTGTTGCATGTGTTGCATGCTACATTTTAAACCTGTTCAGGCCAATTTAGCTCAACCATGTATAGAAATTTTATTGCATGGCTTTGGTATCAACATGCTATTCCAAAAGCACATGTTCCTGCAGAGTGCCTGTAAATATTAATAAGTGCTGCAGCAATTACTGGCTGGAACCAAAGGTAATCAAAGCAAGAGAATGTCACTAGCACACCACAGATCCCCCGAATGGGTCCAAATATTTATTCAGCAATCACATCATTACAATACGAGCAATGTTTCAGAGCATCGCAGGACTCCTTCATCAGACATGTGTACGTAGGAACAGGGGCGGACTGACAACTCATGGGGCCCCCGGGCAATAGGGGATCATGGGGCCGCTGTGTCCTTGCCCACACTCAAAAAAGCCTATAAAAAGGTACCAGGGGCATTTCATGGGGCCCCCTACTGACCCCGGGTCCTCGGGCAGTGCCCGAGTGCTCGAATGGTCAGTCCGCCCCTGCGTAGGAACATTATACTGCAAGCCCCTCTAGCCTTTTTGTAACCACAAGTCATTGAAGCATTAACCACTAGCTGACCATCCGCAGTAAATGTACTGGTTTGTACAACCACAATCACGTACCTGTATGTTGAGGCTTGCTTCCCGGGTCAGCTCGTGCATGCGCACACACTCAGTGACCTCCACTATCATTGGCTGCAGTACCAGTTTGTCAGTGATTCGTGCCCAGTGATTTTGCCCAGAATCCTGCTAATTTCAGTCAATGACAGATCACCCCTGTATTTTGTTTTGTAAAAAAAGGCAGTGATCTAGCGGTTTCCTCTCTTCCTGACCTCTTTTCGGTTCAGAAAGAGAAGAGAACACCACACAGTGAGTAAAAGTAGCACACATTACACCCACATGCCTAATTTGGCACATTTAACCATTTAACCACCCTCCATTAATCCTTTTGATCGTCCATGTCACCCAGCCAGTGCCATTAATACAGTGTCGGTATACAATATTTATCACTGATCACTGCATTAACATCAGACAGTGTCAGATAGCATCAGGGTCAGTTAGCCTCCCTCCCAACCAGTCAACTAGCATTAGATTGCCCACACACTATTGCACTTACAGAATAAGTCATTGATCACTGCCATTGCTAGTATAGTGTATGTACAGATCAATATATTGATCACAAACAAAACTATACTTTTGTCTCCCTTAGTATAGTGTCCCCAAAAATGCAGTGTTATAAGGATCAGCCCCATTTGCTGCCAGCACTTGTGTTTAGCCCCATACCCCCCCCCCCCCCCCAACAAGTGCAGTGTCAATGGATCACTGTCACCTCTGATACATTGTACACAAAACTGAAGCATTTACAGAATCAGATCAGATTTCTGCTAGCACTAGCAGGTACATTTTATTTCTAGCTGTTCAAGCAGTCTCTGACAGCCAGGAGCTCCTTTTCCCGTGAGTCACACTGCCACTGCACCACAAAAAAAAAGCATGTGATTTGAACAAGAATGCAGTATGATTCCTGTCCAAATTGCATGATGTTTCCTAACTGTTCCTGTGTGAACCCAGGCTTGTCATAATCTGAGTTCACAAAAGAGCAGTGTGGAAAACTTCCCTGCATTGATCCCATGCTGAGCGGAGAGTGGGCGTGTGGGGATGTATACCTGGTGGCAGATGCTCCATATTCTCAACTGCAGGAGAGGAGAGAAAGAGATGGGGATTTGAAATACCCACCGTTTTCTCTTGTGTCCTTGCAGAGATGATAGTACGGGCTAGATGACTTCTAATTGCTCAGCACCGTCCATGTGACGATGCTGACCAATCAAAAGCCCTTTAGCTCAAACTGTCATCCCTGCAAGGAGAGGAGAGAAAACCGCAGTGGTCTCAAATCCCCACCGCTTTCACTCATTTCTTACAACTGAGAATACGGAGCATCTGCCACCAAACATACATCTCCACACACCCTCCCCCCCCCCCTTTCCTTTATGGGAAACCTTCCTGCACTGCTCCTGTGTGAACTCAGGCTATGACAAGCCTGGGTTCACACAGGAGCAGTGCGGAAATAGCATGTGATTTGGACAGGAATCACATTCCTGTTCAAATAGCATGTTATTCTTTGCAGTGCACTTTGCATGCATACATTTTTTATGGAAAGCAAATTGCACTGCAACCTATTGGTTATCCATATCGGTGAGTACTTGATCAAAAGTATCAGTACTCATACTCTAAGATCAAAAAAAGGGTATCGGTGCATCCCTAGTAACTACATATGTGTACATATAGTCATTTTTAGTTATCTGCTACCATAATAATAATAATTCAATTTCAAGGCAGCACAATGGCTAAATCGTTAGCACTTCCACCTTGCAGTACCGGGTCGCTGGTTCAAATCCCAACCACGGCATCACATGCCTGGAGCTTGTATGTTCTCCCTGTCCCTTACTCTGGTTTCCTTCCACACTCCAAAGACATGCTGGTAGGTGAATTTGATCTTGTCTAAATTGGTCCTAGTATGTGTATGTATGAATGTAGGTTAGGGACTTTAGATAGTACGCCCCTTGAGGGTTAGGGACTGATGTGAATGTACAATATATATGTAAAGCACTGCGTAAATTGACGGCGCTATATAAGTACCTATAATAAATAATAATAAGGCATTGTGTGTGTGTGTGGACGTAGAAGGGTGTATTGAAGTCATGAAGCAGTGAGGGCGGGGAACAATAACAATGGCTCTGTGTGATTTTTGTAGACCTATATAATATGTTGAGGTTATAATAGAGTAGAAATAAAATGCTAATGTGCTGTGTGTTTTGGGAAAAAAAATACCACTTTCCTGATTTTTTTTGCTTTTAACCTCATTCGGAATGTGTGTGCCTCAATGCATAATGAAGTGTGTTGCAGAGCATGTGCTACTGTAGCACAGTATAGTTTGAATGCTGCAGAGGTCAGCTTCAGATACTGTCAAATGGTCCCCTGAAGTCTGCTGGGAAACCAACATTTCTGGAATGTCTATCCTCTGGGTCTCCTACAGCTCTCACTTATGTATCCTCCTGAGCTCTACTATTTTTTAACAGAATAATTACAGTAGTGCCGAGTTTGCAAAAGCTTTAATGGGACTATTTCACAGTGATCAGAGCCAAGTTATGTATCACAGGAAAGGTAAGTTTTTTTTCTTTAACAAAGAAAGCTTTGATGATTATGGTTTGTATAGTGAAAGGGTTATTTTAAATTGCAGCACATTACATTTTTTAAAAAATTACTTTATTTAACAAGACATAACCATACACAGAATTGTACTTAGGTAAGGAAAATTGATGTATAGGGGTTGACTGGTCAGGTTTACCAATATGTCTAGCCCTTGAGTAGAGATGAACTAGTGGGAAACAAGTATGAATAATTATCCACTTAACCTCTGGAAGGTTTATACCCCTTCCTGGCCAGGCCATTTTTTCCATTTTTCTGTTTTCCATAATACATATTATATGAGAACGTCAGCTGGAGAAGTGTGCTGTGGCGGTGCTGGGTGAGGAGCTGGAGGAAGACCACAGAGGGTGTAAACAAGTCTGTCCACAATTTGAGCGCATAATAAACCTATTGATGAGGTCATAAAGTGAGGTGAGCAGGTTTTTCACCTAATGGTGGTGGCACGGTTGGCACAGAAGAAGAGAGATGTATCTTATACACGTTGCACAGCGGTGTTATAAGAGACTTTTTCATGAGACTTTAATTATTGTTTAAACTTTTTTTTTATATGAGATAATAGTCTTTTGCGCTACACTTGTTTATTCATTATGGTATATATACAATGTCATTTTTATTTATTTATATTTTTTATATTAGCAATGGTGGCGAACATACTTATAGTGGGAAAGTGATGTTGCAGTGAACAATCTGACACTAACTGACACTTTGTGGGAACCAGTGACACTAATACAATGATCAGTGCTAAAAATATACACTGCACTGTATTAATGACACTGGCTAGGAAGGGGTTAAACATCTAGGGCAATCAGAGGTTTACCTACATGCCCAACCAGTGTGTTTGTATTTTCTATGTGGTGCTTTTACTAGGTAATGTACTGGATTTTATTCCTTTCGCAAGGAAACAAAATCCAGCACATCGTTGCTGACAGGACACAGCTCTGCTTTATTTACATAAGCACCCTGAGCTTATGATTTATGCAAGTGGTGGGACAGTTGAGAAAACTGGTGGTTCATGCTACAGTGTGACGTAGCGATTGTTGGGGTTATCCCATCCTCAAGCACTATTGACCTCTTATGATTCAAGGTCTGTACCTCCAACAAGCAGATTGCAGTTCATGTATGAGGATTGATTTAAGGATTGCTGGTACTTATGGTTGATCTCTTAGCAAGATGTGTGGCAATATTGGAACTTTTTTTTTGCACTGTTGGGATTTAGGAACATATATTACTATATGATGCTAATATTGTGTTATATGTATAATAATGGATAATAAAGCGAGTGCTAATCGAACCTAAAATTCAATAAAAGCAGCTGAACACACTAAAAGGTAAACCAAATGCCTTCAAAGTGAATATAGTAAATGTATGTTGGTGCAGCGCTAAACCAAGTGAGTAAAAACAACCAATTTCAATTACATAAATGAATATAGGTAGTACATGCGTTTTGCTCACAACTTATACTTGAATGTTAAAATGTGCATAGTGGTCTGAAAATAGTAAAAATAGAGATATAAATGTCCATATAAGATGCATAACCACAAATATATGTGAAAGTTATAAAAAAGTCAATAAACTCTTAAATCAGATATAATCTCCAGGTGATTCTGTTCATATCCCAGTGAGCTATTGTCTTCTGAGGTGGGTGTGTGCCAGTAAATGTATAAAATGCGCACTCACCAGATGCGCTAATAAAAAGTGCGTTGTATTATATAATCCTGGTCATTCACAGGTCCCTTAAGGGTAGTCCGGGAAGTAGCCTGGGGGTAGATGGTCTCCCTTGGGTGCTAGGATATGGTGGTCAATCTAAATCGCTCTGCCTCTTCAGGACGCTGGGACATTCACAGGAGATGGTAAGTACTGCAATGATGAATAAAATGTGACAATGGTCCTTTAAGGAGGAGCCCCTGTAAGCCGCTGACGTCAAGCCATCGGATCACGGAGATCTGATGGCCACTTTATTACACCAGCTGGTCAGTTTTATATGCGATTACCATTGTCACATTTTATCTTCAACAAAGTCCCTTACTCTTGGTGAGGTACATGTCTGTCACCTAGATAGGAATTGTGATGAAATCCCAGGTAGAAAATCTGGAAGCTGATTGGTTTCTATGCAGAGCTGCACCAAATTTTGCACTCTCCAGTTAATCTCTCTAGTAAATCAACTCCTTTACCACCCAAAATGATCCCTTTAGTAGAATTATGCTGACTACGCATGGAAAAATGGCTTTAATGTAAAGACAAAATGAATGGGAAAAGTGCACACCCACATTTTTAACTTGTTTTTAGGATAGAAAATTATATACTAAGAACTAACTGTGGAGCTCCTAGCACAGAAAC